GTCAAAGCGGTACAGGATAGACTCGCTCCATGAGGTCCACGGTGTGCCGCGGGTGGTGGTTTTAAATATATTTAATTATTATATATTAGTAATTTAGAATATATTTATTCAATTATTATATTATTTATAATTTAGAATATATTAATTTAATTATTAAATATTAGTAATTTATAATCGAATTACATAATTATTATATTATTTATAAGTTAGAAAATATTTCTTAACTATTACATTATTTAAAATTAATTATATATATATATATACTTAATCAATATATTATTAATAACTTAGATCTACATATTTAATTAATACATTATTTATAATTAATTGTTATTATATATTTTCTATACGTTAAGATATATATAAATAGAATTACATTTATAACTAAATGTCAAGTAGCTCAGTTGGTGGGGGATGCTTTTTTCAACCCAAAGGTACAGGGTTCAATCCTCACCTTTGAGGTTTTAATTTTAATTTGAAGTTTACATATAGCAAGGTATAATCGTAAATTCATTGATAAAGTAAGGGTATAATGGTAAATTAAACAAAAAAGTAACGCCGTTAGTATTAAAGTAACGGTGTTAACATAAAGGGACGAGTCTGCATGTAAACATTAAATACAAGGGGGTTAACTTTGATGTTTTAATTTGAAGTTTACATATAGTAGGGTATAATCGTAAATTCATTGATAAAGTAAGGATATAATGGTAAATTAAACAAAAAAGTAACGCCGTTAGTATTAAAGTAACGGTGTTAACATAAAGGGGCGAGTCTGCATGTAAACATTAAATACAAAGGGGTTTGACGCAATTTTTGAAATAGCAGGGTAAAACGCGCAAATTTCATATAATACAGGGGGATTTGGTGCAATAAACCCAAAACCAAACGTATGTATATATATCTCAAAATAAAATGACGTATAGGTAAGGCCATTCGTTACGGGCGGGATTGATTGTAGATTTTTCCTAAATTTCAGTTTAGATAAATAAAGAGATTTGGCATAAATAAGGGAGTAATAGCTTATAGTACAACGCAGCAGGTGGAGAAGTAACCAAGCAAAATGGCAGCGCATAAATTTAGTAATCTCTCCTCTCCACACTAAAAACTAAAAAGAAAAGAAAAACCAACCAGAACCACCTCCGAAACTATCGCTCCTCTCTCTTTTCCCCTTTCCTTTTGTTCTCCCTTTATCAATTTCATCTCTCATTTCCTTCTCTCTGCCACCGCACAATTATGGACGTCCGCCGGAGGCCCACAAAGCCTTCACCCGCGAACCACTCCTCCGCCGTCGACCACCACCAGTCCTCCTCCCCCAAGGCCTCCGACGCCCTCCCCCTCCCGCTTTACTTGACCAACACCATTTTCTTCTCCCTGTTTTTCTCCGTCGCCTACTTTCTCCTCCACCGCTGGCGCGACAAGATCCGAAACTCCACTCCGCTCCACGTCCTCACCCTCTCAGAGCTCGCCGCCATCTTCTGCCTCATCGCCTCCTTCATCTACCTCCTCGGCTTCTTCGGGATCGACTTCGTCCAGTCCTTCATTTCCAAATCGGAGGGCGAGGAAGAGAACCAGCGGTTCATCCTCCACGAGGATCGCAACATCCACTGCACCCCGAGGCCGACTCCGGTAATGACGGAGCTCCCCGAGGACGACGAGAGGCTCGTGGACTGCGTCTTCTCCGGCGAAATCCCGTCGTATTCTCTTGAATCGAAGCTGGGGGACTGCTTCAAGGCAGCCAGGATCCGCCGCGAGGCGGTGCAACGGCTGACCGGGAGGTCCATAGAGGGTTTGCCCCTGGAAGGGTTCGATTACGATTCAATTTTGGGGCAATGCTGCGAGATGCCTGTGGGGTACGTGCAGATACCAGTCGGGATTGCGGGCCCACTGCTGCTGAATGGACGTGAGTACTCGGTACCGATGGCCACAACCGAGGGCTGCCTGGTAGCGAGCACCAACAGGGGCTGCAAGGCAATCTATGCATCTGGTGGGGCCACCTGCGTGCTGCTTAGGGATGGCATGACCAGGGCCCCGGTGGTGAGGTTCTCGTCGGCAAAGAGGGCGACGGAGTTGAAGTTTTTCCTGGAGGATCCTCTCAACTTTGAGACGTTCAGCGTTGTTTTCAACAAGTGAGTGGATTTTATTTTTTATTTTATTTTATTTTTCTTTTCTGAAGATACAGAGGAGGCGTGAGTGTTTATACTCTATGTTATGTTTTGACTGTTTGGCATGCTT